CCTTTAGCAAAAACGAAGCAATTTCTGCCAAGAGGATCCCAGCAGACTGGGAAGGACAGGCTCCAAATTAGGTGGGATTGTGATGCAGGAATTTCAGAAGGCCTGTACAGAACACAAGGAGCTTGCTGACTAGCTCTAGTCTTTCCCCCTGCATACTCCTTTCTTATTCATAATTTAAAAAATTACAAGTATATTGGCAAATGTCATGGCTGCATTCAGGAGAACCTGAAAGCTTTCAAATGCAAAGGGTGCATGAAGATGACCTTTCATCTGATACAAAGACTGCTGGGCTGGGTGGGTCTCTTTTTAAAATTTCATGGTATTAGAATATTTGTTGCTAAAGATGCTTGAAACCACTGCAAAAACATGCCTATAGGTTCTACGGCACCAGCGTTTCGCCCCTTCTCCAAAACAAACAGTTCAAAGGAAATTTTCTAGAAAACAATTCCCTTTGTCCCAGATGGGTCGCTTTTAAAACACCACTCACATTCACCTTCCCTCTTAGACTCCCTCTCTAACCACTAGCATTGGTTGTTTCTTTGACCAATTCTGTTTATGTTACTAAACAGTTTTAGTTATTTAATAAGAACTGGCTGCAGCTGAAACCTGAGTTGATGTCAGACAGGTATGTCCAGCAGACCTATTATTCCTCAAATGATTCTATTTTCATAGGCTCAAAGGAGCAACACCATCTTGCTTAAGTGTGGAGGGGCTTGATGCTGGGGATTTTTTGTTCCTTTGTTTTGGGGGGTGGATGTTGATGTCAACCCAGGCTAAAACCCCATTTTTCCAAAACCCTTAATGGCACCTTAAAAATAGAGTAAAAATATTCTTATATAAAAATAGGTTTAGTTACAAATATGAACACTGTGTACTGTGCGTTTTTCAGGTGAGTTGCTATCAGGAATGTGTTTTTTGGTCTGAAACACTGCCAGCAACTTTTTGGTACATGTTTCTGTATATTTTTCCGAGACTCTCCTCAAAGATTGCTCTGTGAGGCTTCTCTTTGTACACAGCTGCACGACCGGACCAATATTCACCATTATCCAAGTGAACAGGAGCGTTCTGCTGCACTGGTGAGCTGTCAAAGGAAAGAAGATAAGAAACAATGATCAAGATGTGGAAGAGGAATCAGAGGCACAAACCCAGCTGAAATACAAATGCAGAGCTGCTAAGCACATATTGCCTTTTACAAACCAAGGCAAAAACTGCACTGCAGCTACTTCTAAGAAATGGGAACCACAAGTTATTCATTCACACAAATTCTCCCCCACTTACCTGAGTACGCTTTATAAAGCCTCCCAAACAGAAAGAGAATTAATTTTCTGAGAACGTGCAGTAATTTTGCTGTATTTTTGTAGGCTGTGTGACTAGGCAAGAGCAACACTGTAGGATTTTCGTGTCCTTTGAAGGTTAAATTGTAACCACAAGGAGCTATTTCAATATGAAGACAATCTATCAGGGGTATATTAAATGGCTGTGGTTGCAGCTGTAAAGTGCTCTATCGGAAGCGTCTTGGAATAAGTATTCTACCAAATACATTATGATATAGTGGCAATCAAGTGTTCCATCCACACCCCATCTTCTGTGTCACTGCTTTAATACTAAACACAAACACAGGCTCATCTTTCAGTTGCTTTGAGAAATCATTTCCGAGACCTATGAAGTGAAATTTATACTCTGAAAATCATTACAAAACACTGACAAGTCTGAAGCATTCATTTCTAAACATCATGACTATTTGCCTCCTCTTGATACTTTCCAAACAAAGGATTGTGTCAGATAATTAAATGAGCAATTTCCTTGTAATAAAGCATAAAACCAGCAGCTCAAAAATCATCAGCAAAAAATGACTACCGAGGTGACGTTTTTCATGTCTGCTCAGAGATTTAGGCACTTAAGACATTTAAAAATTAAGACTGAGTTATCTTCAGCCTTTTGCGAATGTTCTCAGTCTGGGAAATGACATTGGAAATGTGAAGCTTACAGTGACCACCTTCACTTAGGGAATGGATTACATTTGACAGGGAAGCTTTACAGTTTCTTATATACATATAATTTATTAATAATAATGTCTTTTATGACCAAACCAGTACTTAAATCTTTGTCCTCAAGTTAATATCAGCCAACATACATGACAAAAATGAAAGAAACCTTATGGCAAAGGACCCACAAATACACTTGTACCTCACTGCATCAAAACACAAGGTTTTCCCTTGAAGAATGGAAAACAGTGAGGGAAGAAGAGGAAAATATAAATCAGTTTTCTAAATTCACATCCCTAACCTTCCACTGTACCAATGGAAAACAAAAGAAGGAACAGCTTTTGCTGTTTTACATTCAAATAGTAGGGTGATGCCAACCTGTACCAATGAAAACAAGACCTGTGTGTGGCTCCAATACTAAGAAGGGAGAAAGGCAACTTTCACACTTATTCAGAAAAGCTCCAACATTTAAAGTCAGTCAATATCATGAAGCAAATTAAAACTGTTTATCATCCCAAGTGAACTGTGCCTCACAGTTTGGACACAAAGGAACCAACATACCAAACAGCAAAATCAATAAAGAAGTTATACAGGCCTGTGTGAAATGCAGACAAGTCAGTACCCTGGGGACTCATCAACAACTGAAGTTTCACCTCCTCCTTTCTGCAGTTCGTGGTACCTCACTTCTGATGGAGAATTCTGAGGCCAACAAGTAAGCACAGCGGTAGGAGTGGCACTTGTAACTCTACAACAAACAGCTCTGACACTCTTTTCCTTGGAACCCATTTCCTGCAGGCAGCCTTGTGCTTGCCTTTTCTTCTCCTAAAAGCTGAATGTCCCCAGAGACACTCAAAATCCAACCACTGCAGTAAAGGAAAGACTCAAAACCCAACAGTAACTTCCACAAGTTCCTTACTCTGGTACTGACAAAGACTATTTATAAGAAGACATAAACTTAGTTTTCCCTTCTCTTTCTGGAGGGATGTGTTTGTATGTGTTTCCATTAGGCAGTCCCTGTGCACGAGATACCTGGCACTGGTGTGGACAAAGATACAGCCAAGCAAGGGAAGAGTCCTCCTGTCTCAGCTGGAAACCAGCTGACGACCTGAGCTAAGCAATCTGGGAATTACACTCACAAATCATATTAACAGCAGGATTTCTGCACGCAACTCCCTGCTCTGAAATACCTGTCATATGCTTTTGTTCCCTCATACATCTCCTTTAAGAGTCCCAGAAGTTCTTTTCTGAGTGAATCATATACTAAATATTTCACAAAACACAGACCTTTTCCTTACTCCCAGTGGTTTTCAATCATCCATCTACTTTACTGCCAAAATTTGGTCGACAGTACCATGTCCTTCCATGAACTCTGTCTCTGTCCTTGTATCCTGTTTATGAGCACTGTGGCAAAGACTCAGCAATCAGACTGTCCTCGAGGCCTTTTATGTCTCATCCCCAGTGCTGCTGGCCTCTAAACCCAAGGAGCAATCCTTTCCCAACTTGAGTGCCACATTTCATATCCCATCACTCCAGGATTCTGTAGTATTAGGGTTTGTTTTTTCAGTTTTTCATGGTCTGCAGTTTCAGCATCAATCTCAAAGTCCCAAAGCTGCCTCAAAACAAAAAAACTTGCACTTTCTCTCTCACAAACACATCCTACACAATTTAATTGCACCAGCTGTCAGGACAAAGGGAAAGGGAGCAAAAAAGGCTACACGTAGAATACAGGAGTGAGCACAGGTACAGGGATACACAACTGCAGCAGCAGCTTCACATGCATATGAAAATCTGAGTAACTAGATCCCTTGCACAGAGGTGATTACAAACCACAGGAGCTGCAAACACAGCCAGCAAATCATAAATGAACTTTCTGGAGCTTACAAACAGCAAGCAGAAGTTCACTATGATGTCCATATTGAAATACCCTCCTTTCAGTGGTATTACTGTGGTCATTTGGGATGCCTTCCTTACAAAACATTGTGTCACATTTAATTATCAAAATAAAACCTTTTCTTTCCTAATGGTAACACCTCTCAAATACAGCACCACAGTTCTAGGGTTTCTCCCTTAATATAAAGGAAACCAGAAAAGCCACAGGAGCTCAGAGAATATTTACATTACTTAATATCTTTCCTCCAACAAGTACCAAAACCATTGTACAAAATACTGTGTGAACACACAGACATCAATATTGGTAACTTCTGCTACAGAAGTTGTCAAAATCAATTCAATCAGTGTCTTCTAAGTAATATTGAAATGAAATCCTAGTCATATACGTGAGGAGTACATATAGTAATTAACCTAAATAAACAAGGTTTTTAAGACCTCAGGTTTTCAAGGCAGCTTCTGAGATAACATGCTGAATCACTTAACTACGGTATATAAATTTGATGTGTTTTTTTGAAAATGCTTCTTTTTTCCACATATGAGTTTAAAAAAAAAGAAAAAAAAGGAACAAACCAACACAACAGCCCAAAAGCAAATTAATAAAAAAGCTTCCATTTGTTTTTGCACTCCTATAGTTTAAAAAAAACCACCCAAATAACCAATCGATTATTTTAAAAGTGACATTTGCTCTCTAGTGGATAAAATCCCAAAACTACTGCCTAAGAATCACTTTTACAACCCAGTCCAGTTCCAAAATCAGTGTTTTATGAAGACTATACTGGCTTTGGCACTTACAGTGCCAAAACAACATCAGAGGCAGAATTATATTTAACTGCATTTTGCTTTTAGGTGAAAAAGCTTGGTATGACTAACTCCTACAGAAGCCTTTTCCTTGTGCAATATATGACACAGATTAAAATGGGAAGAGAAATTTTTAGCTACATTTAAAGGGCAGTATTGAGTATGACTGTTCTATCTTGGTCAGAGAAAAACTCCATACCTGCTCTGCAGTTCACTCATGGAAAAGGGTGCATTATGTGAAGATTCTCTTGTCTTAGTCAAGTCTCCTTTTGATGAATTACTCTCATCCTAAAAAAAAAAAAAAAAAAACACCAAAAAAACCCAGAAATCAAATTCTCATTACCTTGGTTTCTGATTACAATGATCTCATTTCAAAAATACTTTCTTTCCATTTAGAAGACTATTAAAGTAACTTACATTTCTTGGGGGAGAAAGGGACAAAGTGTAATGAGCCAAATGCCATTTGTGAACACTTTTAATTAAGTTCAGTACAATTCACCTAATAATTTTAAGGTAATAAACTGGAAGGAATTTCTAGACAGTGTAGATCTAAAGTACTATGCAGACAGCAAAAGCTTCAATAATCCCCAACAAATATGTTGATAAAATGCTATGAAACCTACTGCCCACTGCTTTACTTTTGCTTCTCGCAGAAAAGGGGAAAAAGAACCTAAAACTTATTATGATTCATAATGAGCTCTCATTATCTATTTCATGCATTTTACCAGACAGAGACATTTTACACATCTGAATACTTTGATTCCATATACAGGGCTGAGTACACACCTATTCAACTTTAAAAAACATCTGATACTCTTAACGACCCTTCAGTGCTATTCTCAGGAGTTGTTAGAATGCAGTCTTATCTTCCAAGTGATATCTAGACATTAATTAACCCAGCTTTGCCCTCTTAAGTAAGTAAGAAACAAAACACCTCCCATGGAGGGAGCCAGCTGCTCACCTGAGATGGGATGGTAGAAATCCCACCACACACAACCATGCTCACTCTACTCTGAAGAGCAAAGACCCTACTTAAGAGGTGACACTAAGTGATGCTTTCAGCAGAAGCCAGTTGCTGTAAGGATTAGTAAACAAAGTCATCTTTCATGCTATAGGAGAAATAATTGGAAAAAAGACTGCGCAGTAAAAATAATCACACTTGCTGGTAACACAGAACTGGGAGAGAAGACAATAAATATAGTGGTAGATGGCAAGAAGATGCAGAGCAAGCTGAACAGCAGGTGTATGGATGAGGAAAAACCTAAGAGAATTTACTGTGGTGAAATACAAGGTAATAAGTGTGTTTGTAAACAGGAAGGCTCTCTTCCTTCAGCAGTCACAGACTACAAAGCACTGAAGAGGAAATGGGGTACAGTGGTAAATAAAACTCTGCAGCATTTGCCGGAGGCAAATTATGTTCAGGAAAGCAAAAAAAATATGGAAACATTACGATACTGTCAGAATGTCACAGCAGAAAGCTACAGTGGACACCCTAAGGAATCTGCAGCAGAGCTCCAGTCACACTATTTTTACAGAGCACTATGAAAATGAAATTTCGGAAGGCACAGCCGGGTGCTTCTGGGAATGGCTATTTAGCATTAGGTCCTTTGGAATGAAACAGAATAAGAGATACTTTTTAACCTTTCAAAGTTTGGACAAGGCTCTAGACTGAAACCAAAATCTGCTCGCCACTTTGTGAGCACACTTGCTTTACCATTCACTCACTTTAAAAATGACCCATTTACCTCATCCACCCACTGTGCACCAACGCAGCTCAGATTTTGGGCCATCTGAAAAGCACAACCAATACTAGAGTATTTTACAGTACTCACTGCAAGGAGAACTCATACTTTTTTCCCTTTTTTTTTTTAATCAGATCAGCCACTGTTAGCAAAGCATTCACAAGTCAGCTGCACACAACTATCAAACAACACAAGACTTCTCTGCAGCATCCTCGCGTTCCTTTTGCTCAGTGGAAGAAAATGGAGTGAGACAAACAGTCCTTTACCAGCACTGCTCTGACAAGATGGGTAATTAAAGACCCAGTACCCTAAGAGCCAGATTTTTTTAGGGCAGAAACCAACACAATGTTTGCAAAGTCTTGTGCATTTGTGCAGTACTGCAGTAACGAGTGAATTGCTGAGCATGTGTAAGTCACTCTAGAGCAGAACTTTTAAAGGATATAAGAAAAAAAAGTAAATAGCAAAAAAAAAAATGATTGAATTCTCCTTTACCCATTATTATATTTCATAGTGTTTTTAGCTGTATGGAGAGACCGTGTAACCAACCATCCAGCTCTCATAACAAACAAAAATCTTTTATCGTAAAGTCATGGTCTGCTGTTCAAGGAAAGTAGTCAAGGACCACTGGAGGTAGTTCAGGCTGTGCAAACTTTCATTAAATGTAGGTGCTGGACTGTCATGAAATCCAGTTTGTTATCTTAACATCATTGAAACATCAGAGAAGCATTTTACATGATTTGTACCTATGCTGAAATGTGATGGACATCTTCTATTTGAGAGGCAGCAGCTCACAAAATCACAACATTCCTACACAAACTCAGGGAAGTGCAGCAAGAACCAGATCAAACAGTCTTAGTATGCATGAGGAAAGGTTTCTCTGAGCTTGTAACAAAACCCACCACAACTAAGCTAAAAATGAAGATTGGACAGAAATGAGAAAATAATCAGATTAAGTGAGAATGAGGTGAGACAATGAACTGCCCAACATGGCTAAATTTGGGGACATGATAGTTTCACCAGAGCTCCTAATCATAACCTTACCTACCTCTCATCCTTACATCCTTTTTATCTTAACTTTCTTTTACCTCACCTCACACAGAAGACCCTCATTTCTCTGCAGGTGAACAATGTTGTTGTTCAGTTGGTACAGTGATTTGGCTTGTGCTGTGCAACCACCTCATTTCTCAAAATCACAACAGGAAAAGGTTTTGTCTGCCTTAAACCACACTTCAAAATTTCATCAAGGACAAAATATTCTGATCCCGGGCGTAATCTCATTAGATAAAGATCTCTGCTCGTTGAAAGCCAGGTAATTAGGGAAAAACACCAAACACCTGAAGACTAATATTAGCTCCATAAACAGCTGGATACAAGCAGCTGCTGATGTGCAGCTGCACAACAGGTTTAACCTTGACGTTCTACACATCTGTAACATATTTTTTGCTTAAATTGGAAGTGGAGAACCAGATTAAAAAAAAAAACCCAACCCAAATGTAATTGCCCTCAGTAACCCATGAGATGTACCAGATGCCCATAAAGGCTACACCTAAGGAGGCTACTGAAATCAGTGTGGAACAGTTCAGCTCACACACCAAATCCGTATTTCTAAAATCAAGGCTGTCTCAAAGGACAACATTATAATAAACCCAAGACTGTAGGCACAGTTTTCTTCCTCAGCCATTTTGGAGAAAAGAAAGGATTGTGTTTGCAGTCTTACTTACAAATCTTAGGCGCTGCCTAGCACTGTGTGTCCTTAAAATATTTTTCACCCTTTTATGGATCTCATCTCCATTTGCTGGTGAAGGCCAACCAGAGCTAAATCTGCAAGAAGAAAAACAAAGAGAAGAAATATTTTTCTTTTTTTTCTTTTTTTTTTCTTTTTTCTTTGGTAATTATGAAGCATGTATTACCTCCTCCTATTTGGAACACGCACAGTGTTTAGATTTGATTCTTTTTCTCCTCTGGGGTACAAGAAAAGAAACATTTCGAAGCACTACATAAACAGTACGCAGCCACAACACCAACAGAAGATGCAGAACATGGAAAATGTTGATCGTTTTGTAACTTGAGTATTGTCCCTACAGAATAGAAAAGCTATAATATTCCCAGTGATCAGGTTTCATTTTCCTCTCTTTAAAGAAAGTATTGCACACATGAAATTCTTTTCACTGTAAAAAATCAACAGGAAGATAACCCCGATGTGTGCAAATTGGAAAACACATGGAGTTAGAGAACTGCAAAATTCAAAGTCTATATTTCATAAGAGGAACTGCATTTTAAGTTGCTTTTTTACATTCAAAACCAGGTTACTTGCTTGGTATGAGTAACTTGAAACTAACAGCTACTTTTAGATTTTAGCCTTTTATGTTTTGGATCACATTTTTTTGCCATTTTATTAAAAAAACCCCTCATCCTTCTCAAGGAAGTTCAGAAGTTGCCAGAAATTTCATATCAACTCAGTGTGTTAAGAGAGGCAAATAAGATTTTAAGAACAGAATTATTTACACACCAACCACGTGTTAGTACATTAAAAAAAAATGTATTTTTTAAAAAAGGGACATCAATATAAGGAGAGAATTATTGGGGAGAAGTTATAAAATTTTTACTTAGTCTCATCACAGTGGATAGAAACTGGCTGCCAAATGAAGACTGTGCCCCTTCATTTCATTGTTTCCTAACCTCTGAGAACTTGACTTTGCACCAAGAAAATAAAACCTCATGACATGGTATCATCACAAGAACAGGGGTCACTGGGCAAGCTGTGAGCTGGCAAAGCCATGCCATTGCAATCCCAACTCATGGAAGAGCAGCCAACAGCAGGGCAGAGCTGCCATACCCTGGGTGGATCAGGAGCACCAGGAACAGCGGCACTGCTTTGACAGCTGCCTTCACAAACTTAATGCACTGGAGAAACATCAGGATTCTGAACCCTGAGATTCCTCAGTGGGCTCTGAGCGGGTCTGTGGGACTGGGACTGCAAGTCCTCCTGCCCTCTTCTCTCCAGTTTATCACATTCCCTGAGTTATCCAGTCTATCACTCTCAAATCCCCAGTCTGATCGTGCCTGGCTTAGTTCACCTTCACCAAACCTCCAGAAATTTCAACGCAGCTAAAGAACTGTACAGCTCCTTCCAAAAAGAGCAAGCCAAGTACACATAGAAAGCTTCAGTACAAAACAGCAGCCTTGCAATGTTAAAATGAATGGAAGCAGGATCCTGAAAATGGGAAGTGCCAGGCTGCCTTGAAGGTTACAGGAAGGGCAGGGAACTCTTTGCAATCTTTTGGATCATCCCTTCTAGTATGAGAGAGACAGAGTGAAATATAAGTAGAAAGTGAGCAGTTCTCTGCTTCTGAGTATCTTTCTTCTATTTTCTTCTATCTAATCAACTTATTTAGACGCACTTATTGTTGCTTATCTTTCAAAAATATCTCTTGGTTCTAAACAGCCCCACTATTCTCAGCTTATCTATGAATGTCCTTAAATCAAATAATCTATTTGTTAATGCTTCAATTTTCCTTCAAGTACGGGCGCCAAGAAATGACACAATACTGAAAGGATAAAACATATAACCCATTGGGTGATGTATTTCCATATTTCTAATGATTTAAACAGTTATCTTTGGATCATTACAGGCAAGAATCTTCACAAGACTGGCCATAACACTCATATTGGCATCCTGAGCATTTACAATTAATTTCAAGCCCCAGAGCATGTATGGCAAATCCACACTGCACAATTATTTTGCATACTGGAATCCAGTGATCTGTTGCACTGAAAGACCTCATGCAACTTTTTCTAAACAAAAGTAAAATGGTCTGTGGATTTTGTGAAGAGGAGAGAAGCATGGCCTTTAAAGAAAAAGAAGTGTGAGTCCCTCAAGCAGGCAGGAACATTCATTTCCCCAATGCAGTCAAACGCAGTTTGATGTTCTGCATTACAATGCATGTGCTCTATCACCACCTGTGCTTTGGAAAAAAAATTTTCTCTTTAATTTTTTTTTTTTTTTTAAAGAACAGAGGTAAAGGAAAGGGGCAGGAGTGGTATTATTATCATCTTATGACTTCCCATTAGGATTTACAACATTTACTGATATTAAAGGACTTTCTGAAATGCATGTTTAAAAATCTGCATCTTAGATGCAGTAAGAGTGAGTCATTTCCCATTTGACAAATAAAAGATAGACCCATGAAGTCATGGCATTTTCTCTTATTTATACAGCAGCTGCTGTTCTTCCAACATGCAGTTTGCTGGCTCTGAGAAGTTGGAATATATTGCCTTTGGGAAATAAATTTTATGAAATTCGTATGTAAGATTTCAGATCATTGTTATTAACCGTAAATTTACAAATATCCTTGGAGGTAAACGTATTTACCTGTAATGTAAAAGAAAACCCAGCTAGCTATTGTATTCAGTTAGAAAATACATGGCCATGTCTGCAAGAAGAAGAAGATTTAAGTACTTAATTCAAGAACTATTAAATTTCTTTCTCCAGGTGATTTTATTGATCAATCCACTAGTGTGCGCTGTGGTATAACAAACGTTGGCCACTCACACAGACCCCAAACTTCATTTACCAAAAAAAAAAAAAAAAAAAAAATCAAAAGCCTAAGTGTGATTAAAAACGGTATCAGCTTCTCTTTAATTAGCTTTTCTAGTATTTTTATTGTCTAATTTTAGTAACAACTACAGAGTCCAATCCACGTTTAATGTTAATATTTACACCAACCGAAACGCACACTAAAATAAAAACATGCCTGAAATGGAACAACTATAATCTGAAGTGAAACCTTTTTATGATATTCTAACTCTCCTATTGGAAATACTTTATAAAACAGGCTTTATAGCACAGCTTCTTGGAGTATAAATAAAGGGATTCCATTTGCCCAAAATCACCAGTAACGACTCTTTAAAATGACTAGCTACTTATTTATGTGATTAAGGTGTCACTACCATATTGCAGTGCTGAAAGGAAAGTCATTTCATTTCAATGACTGTTTGTCCTGATAAACGAAATAAACTTCTACAGCTGTATTCTTTGTCATACTTTCAATTTTCCCTGGGACTTGCAAACATTCTGCAGTTACATCAGTTTAAATTGTTTATTGATTCCAATAGATTGTATAAACACTTTGGAAATATAGCTCAGTGACCTAGAAAAAGCCAGATCAATCAGAGAACTTTTCAAGATTAATTTCAGAGATGTTGTGTTGAATCTGATCAAGGAAACAGAACCATTTTCCCTTGTAATATGACTAAAGGCATTTATTTTCTTTTATGAGATAAGGATTTTTTTAAGGTCACACAGACAAAATCTACCATGATGAAAAAAAAAAAAGAAAAGAAACCAGGCAGACAGTGTAGATTTTGTGCTAAAGATTATTTTCATGTATAATTTTATCCATTAGGATGAAATACTCCATTAGAAATACAAACAGGATACATCCACCCATGTACTCTACTCAAACAGCAGCTTGCAAACTCGAGAGCTGTAATAAATAGGAATTTTTAAATGTCAGACAATCCAATCATCCACTTGCACACGGCAAAAACGTTAATATCACATTTCAGCAGGAGATACTAATACATTTCACATCAGCAGAATTAATGCAAAAGCCTTGCCGCGGAATATCTGCAATGCCTGTCGTGACCCCTTCCCCCAGCATCGCACCTCCCCGCCCTGTGAACAGTTCGGTGCATGTGGCCTCCACGAAGAATCCATCAGCTTCAAAGACACAGACTTCATGCTGAGCAAAACCATATACAAGGACAAACTATCAGAGGATGGAAATCAATGAAGTCCTGTAGTACCAGATTCACAAATGGAGAGAACGCTACTGTAACTGGGGGGAAGAGGGAGAAGGAGCTCTTAAAGCTCCTGAAAAAAAAAACATGATCTGCAACAACTTACACATGGAACAGAAGAGAGTCTCAACAAAACCAAATATACTTAATTCTGAAATAAAATAAAAAATCACCTCTCCCAGATTTCATACCTGTGCAGGCATTTATTCAGCATTCACAGTAAGGAAAGAAGTTGCTTTATTCTCATTTAAGAGGACATGAAGTGGTTATTCAGTATAATGGACTTAGTTTGCAGTGTGTACCAGCCTGTATGGAGGCACAATAGAAAAGCTGGGCTACATTTAAAGAGTTTTTCTGGGCAGCTTAGTCAAGGACACGGTTTTGTTTTGCTTTTTCTTAAAATGACCAATGGCTATGAATCTTAGTGCAGATGCAGCTCTGAAGTGTTTTAGAGACTATCTTGGTATATACCAGCCTGAACTGTAATGAAGTTATACCAACACAAAGCTCCCTACACTCTCACATTATTTGCAGTGGAGGAGGGAGGCTGCTTTCACAATGGCACAACACTACTATGGAGCAGAAACAACTACACACAGACGAGGCCTTAAATCAGAGCACAGAAGCCTAAATATGTGGAAGCAGAAGCTGACAGCTTAGCTGTGTACCAATTTGCTCGCTCTCTTCAATAAGAGATGGAAAAAAAAGGTAAAAATTTCCCACGTTTTCTATGTAGTTTTTCTTACTTCCCAAAGCCCTGTTTTAAAATTGGGCCTTGAAGCCTTAGTGACACATTCAGCGCTGAGTTCTTAAATTAGTAAATGCTTTCTTTTCTCTCCTTTTCATATCCAGCCCTTATACATCATCTTCATGGAAAAAGTGAAACTTAAATGGCAGACAGCTTCTGAGAGTTCAATGAAAGTCAATACTCCAGCTGAGCAGTTGCCCCCAAAAGGTTGAAGCCATTCTGGTACTAAATCATTAGCATGTCACAAATTGGCTGCACCTCCTTATGCTCTTTGGAAGCTTTTCCATTACCTTCTATCTTCTCTGAATTTATTAATTTATACACAAAATGGCTTTGACAGCAATCAATTTTGAATTTACTTACTGCTGCAGCAAAACCAACCAATGAAGATAACAAATAGTACAGATGTTGGTCAAAAATATGAAACAAGGCTCGGGTACCACTCAGTTCTGCAGAATATAGTATGAAACAACTGATTTTCAAGTGTTGATTCCAGAAGTTAACTGGATATACAAATACAAAATAAGTAAACTTCCCCAAGAGGTGAGATTGATAAACACAAACCATATAAGGACAACCTTCCTACAAAACTGAATTCCAAAAATCAGAAATAATGAATTTTAAATGGCTAGAAATAGACAGGAAACCTAGTTTGCAGCCTCTCCCCAGAGCAAGTTTTTTTCCTAAAAAGTCTGCAATATTTTTCAGTGTTCTACTTTGTAGTGGAAAGTTCTCAGCACTCAAAACATACATTCTCACAGAAGCAAACCCTGTCTTAGGATGCTTGCCAGTCTCTAAAGGTGAACTACCTGTGTCTGGATTTTGCTGTGCAACACAACTAACCCCCAAGATCCCGGCATGACACATTTCAAGATCACTGAAGCAAAAGATTCTGATAACTGGAATTTTCAAGGACTTCATGCAGGATCTAGTATTTCATTAACATCTATTACCTGTCATTATATCCATCATTAGCAATATCTAACTTCATGCTGCTCTTTCCCTAGTACTTGGAAAAAGATAATATAAAAATATGGTAGTTAAACAATAGAGGAATATTACAGAAGGGCATCTGATCCAGACAGTTAACCTCTCTCTCACTTCAAAGAGAACTTAGGCTTTTGTTAGATTTTATAGTAGGTAAGATCACACAGCAGCAGCATAACCAGGAGAACATAAAAAAAGACATCAAGCTGCACTTCACTCTGGAAACAAAAGCAAAAGCGTGCTCTTTCCAGAGTAGGAAAAAGAATCCTTTGATCCCAAATGCATGAGAAGTAGCTTTGCCTCTCATATAACAGAAACAGTCAAATACTCCTATGATTGTTGTGGTCTCTTGAGAAAAGGATTTCTCTTGTGCCAGCACACAGCTCTGTTCAAAGGACTTCTTGACCTTACAGAATCCATCTCACTATTTCTCCTTTCCTTTATGAAAGGTACTTAGCTGCACGTTTCAGTGCTGCAAGGAAGGCTCAGCTTGGAAGTCCCCAAGAAAAACACCGTCTTCTAGGAGCGCATGAGGAGGGATGTGCACCGTGAAAGCAAGGACTGGACTCGAATGTTGCTCTCCTGGAGCAGCACTGAGACAACAGAGCACTAATGCTCTTTCCCAAAGCATTCAGGACGCTCATCTCTGCACAAGAGGCCACTGATCTCTGTACAACCAATCAAACTTGGGGGGCAAGTCATCTGCCTTGACACACTGCTGGTCACACACCGTGGGCAGGAACTCTGGGGTGTGTATGTGCCACTGGTCTGCACAGGAGCTACCAAAAATCACAGAATCACTGAATGTTCAGGGTTAGAGAGGACCTCTGGTTGTATGCCCACATCAATCTGCTGAGTGTCAGCTTTCAGCATCAGCAAATGCTTTCCTTAAGTGATGTAAATAATGAAAAATGTAAAAACAAAGTATGAAAAATAAATATGCAAAACTTTGCTGTCTGGTTCAGTAGTAAATCAGTTCTGCTTCTGTCTCAAACCCAGTGGGAAAAGTGAAGAGGATTGATTTGTGGTGTGTCTGGCAGGCTCACAGAAAGGGACTGGAAACTGCCAGAAAGGATACAAAAGGGTTCAGGGGACCTTATGGAAGACCCCAATTTCTGTACCACTGAAAAGTATTGCAGTGGCTTAATGACTACACAGCAGGGGTCTGGGAAGTACTCCTAAGGCAGACATTACTTCACACCACCTTTTAGAAAAAGAAAGGGAAAAGAGGGAACTAAAGGTCAAGGTGGGGAGTCAAGTTTCATATTGACTGTGGACTGACTAGCATTAAAAAAAAATAGCCTGGATATGTTAAGCAATTTGTCTTTGTAATTTAAAATAAAACTGAGGAAATAAACACCAAATGCTGTGAGATAAGGCTCCATGTTCTTTCAATTACGCTAACACTGATACACTTTCAGTACTGCTGATTTTCCCTGTATTTCTATGATCTCACCAGCAGTGTTTGCATGCATTTCCAAACGTTGACCTCTGAACCATGTTTGTCATTCCAAGTATAACTCTCAATACACAATCAGCTAAAACCATTGTTATCTCAGCAGCATGAAACAGAGATCAAATTTTTTAGACTATGCCCTTTATTTTTTGGATTTTTTTTTGTCTGATGACAGAAGTAAACTGTTACATCTTTTACATAAAGAGATGTTACAGCTCTGAAGAGCTGAGAACATTTGTTCTAATAAGAAGAAAAAACGTAATTTCACAAGATCAGAAATCTCTTCCGGAGAGGAGCTCATAAAGAGAAAAAGCAAGAACATTCAGACAAGTTCAAGATTAGCTCGCAGATGACTAAATTACTATGCATGTAACAGCAGCTCTAACACACAAGACTTCCCTGCTATCAACAGAAGGCACCCCATCAGCTTTAAATAAAACATGTATAAAATTTAGCCCCAACTCTTCCAAAAGGAGTCCAGCTTAAAAAAAAAGGATAAATAAGTCACCAGGACAGTATCTCTTCCCCAGATATGGGTAACTAATGCACAAACATTGTCAGAAGAGAGTGGGGAGGCAGACAAGATGACAAAGAAACCTCCTCCAAACCCCAGATACATCCTAATCTCCGCAAAACACTTCTCAAGATATGCTATTACAGAGAACAACTAACAAACAAGTTTTCAAGCAGAAGAAGATGTTAAAACACCAACTTGATCTTTGTGAGTATTAAAAATTCAGTCCCCACCTGCCATCTGTCATTTTTCTTTTTAAAGAAAAAACTGAGACAGTTTTTCTATTTTGAAAACAAGCATTAGGCTGTGTGTAGGCTGTGAAATGCACCCTGCAAGCACCGACTACCTGGGGTACCAATGGCAACAGGGATCAAACAGAGAATGAACCAGCCATCGACGTACATCTTCAGCATTTAGGACAGGACATCGGCTTAATCCTCAGTTTCTCCCAATTATTTTATGTATTTGCTTACTCAGGCCCAGCTTTGTACATAGTTTTTCTGCTCCCCCAAAGCCAGCCTGTAACTTTCTAACTGAATGTATATGAGAAGCACCAAGTACACCTTCTACTCAGCAGGAGGGAATACACTTCTTGAAGGACTGGAGGGTTTAAGCATTAAACCATCTGTTGCTTTTTGCTAATTCTTCCATTCCACCCTCATGAAACACTGAAGCTGTGAAGTGTGCCCAAAATATTAATCCAGGGATGGAAATCCACTGAACTAAAAGGTATTAGAAACTGTCTCCTACCCAACCCCATTGGGGTCAGTGGAGACTATGAAGAAAAGTAATCTAAATATAGCATTTAATATACACACAATTGCTGCAGAGGCCCACACTTCAATTCAAACAAAACAAAATCTTAGGGTGTCAACAAAGCAAAAAGATTGGAAAATAATACCCTGAGTATATTAAAGCTGCCCAAGCATGTTATGCACACTAGTCACACTCTGAGAACAGCACAGCCACCATTACATCCTTACAAACACTAGTCCTAAGTCAGAAGGGAAAAAGGCTTCCAAGTACCTCCTGTAAAACCTACTTGACATGTATCTGTATTTACATTCCTGAGATTCTAATTGCCTCTGAAACAGTGATGATTTGAGTATTCTCTGTTTCAGATGGACACTGGCAGCATGAAATCTGGGGTGTCACTGTTTCAGAGATTTCTCCCTGCTGTATAATTTAGGATTGTACTCGTTAGGCAGAGAGGTGATGGCAAACACAGCACCTGAGGAAAAGTCAAACAACATCATTATTGCAGATGATTTCTCAGTCCCTTCAGCCCACACACCTCCACACATGCAAACTACAGCCATGCAAGTACCGTTATCATCTGTTCTTATTAACAATTCCAGAATTTCATAAACAAAACCTGGTCATTACCTTTCCCTTAGAGAAGATCGATGCAGCACAGAACTCAGGGAATGCTTCTGAAACGCTGGAGGTGCTGAACGCTCTAAAGAACCAGCAGAGTGGGACTGTCTGTTGGGTGGATCTGAGAGCTCGTCCTCATTGCAAACAACAGAACTGTCCAAGTCTTCTCTACGAGCAGATTTTGCCTGAAAAATACCCCACCAAACTAAAATTTATTATGAGCACCAAGATGTACAGTTTTTGTGGTTTTATTTCTCAACCCAAAAGGTTGTACATACATCCAGGAATACCTGTCTGCTGGGGAAAGAACAAGGACTTATTTCATACAAAAAGCCCTAGTCTAAAGTAATCAACAAGTGTCAGAGGAATCTGCTGGTACCTAACACACCATCTTATGGCAAAGTCTACTGTAACAGTCTTTTTATCACCTTTTCTGACTGCAGAGTTTAAAGGCTTACCCTTCCCAGGAATCACAGGTTCAGAATAACGCCTGAGAGTCTGAACAACCCAAACGTGGGACGACTCCTCACTCTGGGATCTGTTTTTCTTAAAACTTTTTTTTCTCATAATTTGCTGTTCCTCAAGGGAAGACTCAGGCCCATCTACTCATCTTCTACTCCCTCTTCACTATACTAGTTAATCCTTTCGTAGTTCCTCTTAACCTGAAACACACCACTAAAATGTTGCCATGGATTACCCCCCTTTTCCCTGGCATGAGGACTTTTACAGGAGCACTTTCACAAAGCTGAGGAAAAAAACTAAAACCAGACCAACAATAATAAGGTTATTCATTAGCTCCTTCCAGGCTGCAGGTCTTTTTTTCCTCAACTCTGGGAAACAGCTCCTCTAAAACAAAGCTATATTATTTCTGTCAAGAGAAAGATACATTCTCTTCAAACCTGGTTTTGTGAGATTCACAAGTGATTGGTGGCATATAGAACATGATGAATTAACCTGTAGCTCAGCTATCTTCTGCATTCTCCAATGACTGCTCCCAAAATCTACTTTCTCACTGGGTGGCAAAGGAGATGGGGAGGGGCAGAGGGATGGGGGTGATAACATGACTTTAAAATTAAAAAAAGGAAGAGGTATTTAGCATATTTAGTAGAAATTCTCTATGTTGTTTACTGTTTCTCATTTACAGCCACTGAACAATCCAGAAGTGGCACAATATATTAGACTCTCATGGTACACAAAGCTTGGTAACCCTTGGTAATAAAAGCGCATTGGTGACAAACGGGCATTTAACATATATCAAAGTTTATCCTTACAATTCCCCTTCTTTCCTCTTCCCTGTTATCATCACTTTTCCCAGTCATTAGGAAATCTAATAGGGCACACATAATTAAATGCCTAAACCCACAATTTTTAAAGTACTTCACGAATACAGGCAAAAAACCAGCTAAATGAGGACGTAAAGAATAAAACCCACCAAAACCCAAAAGAACCCTGGCTTGGATCTTCAGATCCTTCTAACACACAAAAAAGCTAAAATTTGAAAAAGAAAGGATGAGAAGTAACACAACTGGCTTGCCAGTTCTACCAGTGCTACCTTTCCATATAATTCCAGAAGGCATAATACTCTCAGAATGACTGGGAAGGCAAATGCAAAGTGCATTTAAAGACTCCTCTATGGCCTTGCTGCAAGCCTTAATGCCAAGGAAAACCAAGTTCTGTACTTGCAAAAATCAGCATCTTTACAGAGTGCTAAGTTTCCCTTTACTGTTTGTAAATAATCTATCAGCCCTAGCTGGGTTAGATCAGTTTAAAATGTCCTTTTTCTTGCTTTTGATACTGAAATAGATATGCAAGACAACCCAAGAAGAATTAGGAAGCTCAGAGCTTCCCCAAAAAACATCATGTTACCAATAGCACTTCATAATACCTCAGCTTTCTTAGGTCTGTAGCTGCCAAGAAGAGAAGGATCTGGAGAAAGAAAAAAGGTGCATGTCAGAAGAAATAAAAAAGAAATTTGAATGTCCTAAATTTTATGAAAAGCTTTTACAAAGCATCTTACCTCTCCTCCCAAACAGAACTAAAGCAATTTATTATTTTTATACACTGCGAAATTCTAAACAGTCTCCTCAGTATCTTTCAGGAAATCACCTTCTTTAGCTGAAAACCATGACTTCACATTTAACGGAATACAATGTTTACAACAATGAGTCAGGGTATGCACCATCTTTTGCACAGACAGAAGTGGCACATTTTGTTATGCTATTCATTGCCTAAATCAACATCAAATCAAGCTCTACCATTCCCCAGAATTCTCACGTACATTACTCTACCTTACTAATCCTCTCTGAATAAGCTTCCTCATGACCAACTCTCCCTCCTCCTATCAGCTCTGCATTCCTTCCATCCCCACTGACCCACACACACCAGTATGAAGCCCATGGAAAATTACACTGGGAAACTCTTAGGTCCATACTGGGTTAGGATTTTTCACTATTGTCAATATGCACCTCAACCCTGGGGGACTGACATTAAATTACGTCTCCCTTCTTGATCTATATCAGTTTGTGCTGAACAACCCTCACACTGGGACCCAGGAAAAACAAAACAGCACTAAACTGTACCATCTGTATTAGGATTTCTAATTCCAGGAATCTGTTTTTTTTCAGAAGTTACAGATAAGCCTCAAGACACAGGCAGGTGATCAGTAAATCCTCTGGGTATTAATGTTGAGGTAGATTTCAGTCTCCTAACTACTGGCCAGAAACCACCAACTCAGTTTATAAGTATGCAATGGTATCAGATGATAATAGGTCTGTTGCATTACCCAGAGATCACAGACTGGTCACCCTGTTCCCAAAGGGAATGAATGAGAAACCTTTACAATCCAGCACCCAGTGTTACAACACAGAACAAATGTAAAATAACCTGTTCATAATGATTTGATGTATAACAATTTATAATTAGTGAGGAAATGCAATAAAAATGAGGCAGAGCAAACATAAACAACTACTGATGAGACTCATTAAAATTCTCATACTGTCAGACACATGCAATAAAATCAAGTTTTAGGGCACTTCCTTAAATTTCTGGTCCCACGCTTTTTATTAATCCCTCACTTACTGATACCAAAGAATGCTAAGGCAGATATTGGAGCACGTCCTGGATGCTCATTAATAATGGTAAGTCACTGATCTCACTGCTCAAAAATACTGCTGAAATAAACATTATTCATTTTTGAAGAAACAGAGCCCTTGAACTTCAAAATAATCAATACTCCAGGCCTGATCAACACACCCACAAACTGTGGTGCCGATTTGCTCCACTGTCCAACTCAACAAAACAAGTGGAGTGAAACAAAGCACTCGCCTGGGCTTTGGTATTCTCTGCTCCCGTTTTCATGCCATGTAGAACTATGTTCCAAGTTTCAGGAGGCAAAGGATTATTCAAGGGCACCCTTTGAAGCAGTAGTTTATTCAGTATTTTTCCTATTCCTAGGAAGAACTAACAGCTTTTTGTCCATTATAGACTGACTTTTTTATAATAAATAAACCCCCAACATAATAAACCCCCCTACACACACAAAAAATAACCCACTGCAGAAATCAAAAGCACTAATGAGATCTATAGCAAGAAATACTGACCATGGTCCGCCTTGGCCCAGGCTCCTGCTGCGCTTTCTCGCGCGGAACACCAGGTATGACGCTTAACACCAGGACTTGTTTGTTCAACCTGAAGCAGAAATACTGTTAAAATATTCAGTATCAAATGTGTCAATTCCTATTTTTTCTGGGTTTGTTCGTAAGACCACACTTAGCACTTTCTAAAATATTTTATTCTTCTTTAAGTACTATTTTAAACTATTTTCATAACACTTTGCTAGTGTGTATTATTAGCATTACTGTTCATAGACCAAAACAGTACTGGAAAACTCTGAATATCCTATTGTCCAAAAAGAAAAGAAAATGCAGATAGTTTATCCTTCATCTGTAACGTCTGCAGTCTTCTTAAACAATTCTTAGTGCCTCATATTTATTCGAAACAGCTCAGATCTCACCAAGAGAGATCTGAATCTCTTCCTAATTAAGGAAGTTACATTTGGCATAATCCAGTTTTAATCTTCATGTAACACAAAGTCTCCAGGCCAAAAGAGTCCCCAGCAGTAAAGATGCCCTAAAAAGAGCATTCTCAGTCTAGACAGGCCATGACAGTCAGGATATGCTAAATTAAGAGAGAAGCTTTTTCCTTTTTTGTACAAACATAACCAAGCATTGAAAATCAATAATCAGTTTTAATGATGCTATAATTAAACTGTGAACTTCATCTATAGACCAAAAACCAGAAGAATTGAATAAAAGGAGTTGAAAGAAAAATATCTGAGAGAGAAACAGTAGAGTGATGAATGACTAATGACTTACTTAGGCTATTCTGAATTTCTAAAAGGTACCTATATTTTTTTCTAACTTTAAGTAGAATAAAACTTGGAAAAGAATTCTGAAATTTAATAAGATATTATTAATAAATTTGCACAGATACTGAAAAAAAGATAAAGTGAGAAGCAAACAAATTAAACACTAGATTATCTCACTGCCTGGGACAACATACAAAACAGTACACAAATCATTATGTCATAGCACAGAACAAGAACAATCCCATTTCTGCCCCTACACATTCAAAGTGGTTTACTAAAAACAAAGGATTGTTGCAATCGGAAAAGAAAGTAAGAGGGGAAAAAAATAAATATAAGAATATAATCCTCCAAGTGGCCGGGCAATGTAGCCCCTTCGTTTTAAACCTCTTACACACAATTTCTTTAAATAAGTACCTAATTTCAGAACAATTTTTCATGTACGGTAAAAAGTCCTTATGTTATGAACTCTAAGTCAGAGTGTTTGAGATGTAGCTCTGAGCAAGGGAAGTGCTTCAAAGATCACAGGATGCCAACATAAAAAAAAGTTGAAAGAGAGAAAGTGTAAGTGTTCATAATGCGACTAGACACTTTTTCTTAAAAGTCTTATTCAGGAATTTTTAATACTAATATCAATTACTTCCAAGCTGAATTTATACACCTATTATCCTGTCTAGTGCGCTGGAAGAAAAGAAATGGGGCCTCAGAGAATTTAACCAAGATATTCATGAAAGAATTTGATCTTTGTCTGTTGCTAAAGCGGATAAAAGAAATTTAATTTTAGTTAATTTTACCTTTAAATCACTATGTGACAGACTGTTAAAGGAGAGAAAAATTATCCATCTAAACTAAGAGCTGAATGAATTTTCGGAGAGGCATTTAGCGAAAGAACAACATTTGATCTGCGCTTAAGCCGGGAGCGCTTTGGAGCGAATACAAACCCGCCTCACTACAAATGGAGGTTTATCGGTTTCCCTTCTGAATTCGTGAGGACCCAGGTTTAAATGGGCCAGGCGCTGCCTGGCTTCTTCTGAGAGCTCACACATCCGCCTGTTGGTGTACGGGGACGGAGAGCGGGATTTGGAAGCTATCGTGGGCTGCTCGTAGTTCTTGGTTGCCGAGCTGTGCCTGCTTCTCTCAGGTGACAGAGCGTTTTTCTTCAGCAACTTGGTGTGCAATTTTCCATTTGGGGTTGAACGATGTGCCCCATTCAAACCACCCTAAAGTGAAGAAGAGAAATTATCTGATTTGACAGGCGTTGTAGGACAAAGATCACGGAACACAGAGCAAAAAAGGAACTAATAATTCAACAAAAATAGATGCCATGTCATCTGAAGTTCCCCTCACAGAACTGTAATCAAACAGCAATTTAAAAAACAATGTGTTTATAATTTTCTCTGAAAGCAGAAGGTTAAAGCACATATTACTGCATGTTAGATGCAAAGTGATACTTACTCAATTAGCTTTCTCACACAGTTAGTGTACAGAGGCTGTAAAAAATTCACAAGTGTATTTTGCACAAACTTTACCTGAATCGGACAAACACAGATTTGAAGCATATTTCCATCTGTTTAAACTTTTATTTTAACCTTTTAAAATCTTACCGTCTAAAATAAAATACATAAATTAAAATAGAAGCCTATTTCATAGTTTAAATTATATCCACTTAGAGTTGCTTAAAGAAGTGTAACTACATTTTCTGAAATTCATATTTTCTTGGACCATGGTGATTTTTACTAGTTTCTTTAAGGAGTTATAATCAAGAAGTAAAGTTTAGTCAAGAAGAATACTTCCCCCTCCACCAAAAAACAACCCCAAAACTTTTAAGACCATCCTCCAAAGATCTCAATTCTCTACACCCAACAATGAGTGAGGCTGAGGTTGTGTCTTTGTCTTGCATCAACATAGTTTGAATTTGGGAATCACACAGACTGAACTACCACTTGTGCAGCTGATAGTGAGACAGAGTACAGAACTGGCCCACACAAAACCGGACCTAATTCTTTAAGATTAATTTCAGTTTCATCAGAAGTAGGCTGTGCTGCTTCTGGCTCACACCAGCTGTGAAACTAAATCTTCACTACAACACAAGCAAATCTGATATGCCATTCAGAACATATTAGATACTTTAATGTACATTCTAAATTTTAAATCAAACTGCCCTTATTCAAGTTACCTTCACAGAAGCTGGTTTTCTGACAATGACAATCTTCACTGATTTTTTAATTCTTTTCTGTCTCAGTACATTTCATTTGCTAAATTTGGAAGAAACTTCTCAGTGGACTTGTTAGCAATGCCACAAACAGGTCAAACTCACCTAAGTGTTTTTGCACACAAACCTTCCTGACAACCATTCCATTTTCATGATGCTGCACCATTTTCCAATAATATGGCAAAAAAATGGAGGATGTCAGAGTAACTTAACATGACCACTTGTGCCAGGAAACCAAACCTAAATTTCAATCTGTGAGACCAGAGAATAGTTCTTCTTCACCTTTACTTGTTACAGAAGCAGCATTTCCAGATTAAAATACGTGATCACCTTTTCCAAAAAAAAAAAAAAAATCTTCATTTCCATGACTGGTAATGATATAGTTTTGGAAAACAATTAAATTAACTGGTTTGGTTTTAATAATGTACCTTCTCTGACTTCACCTAGTTTTGATTGTCCTTAATTTTAAGTGTCAGTAACAAATGGTGAGAAGGCATCTTCCCACCTACAAATACAGCAGGGACTGACACTTCAGCTGATCACAGAACACAGCCGCTGATAATTGTTTCAGATTCAAGGAACTCTCAGCATTTACTGTCATGCACCAAACTCACTCTTTACTCATACTTGATTAAAAATTTAATCAAGTTGTCAAGCACCCATGATAACTGCTATAACCACAACAAAAGAATGAGAAAAGTTTGAAGTGAGCAGCACATGCAAAAATTGGAAGCAAGGCTATCAATATTAAATCTGGAAATTAAATTGCAAACAATTAAATTATGCTAACCTGTATGTGACTCCTTCCTGAGCTTAACAGACTTTCTGCAATAAGGGAGATTGTAGAAAATCTCAATTTTGGTGCAATTCCCTAGAAGAGAGACAATAATTGAACATTAAGCTCCAACTCAAGATAAAGGGTATCAAAGAGGTAAATGTCACCTAATGTAACAAACTATTCCTAATTTTAAGCTATTTCCTTTGTTAATTTCAGCCTTTAATAAAGATAATTAGAAAAGACAGAACAGCAATGGTAAATGTCAAGATGCTAACATTTGCATTTCTGACAATTCAATTACAGATGATTATACTGCTTTTGTACAACAATTAAGGTCTGACTTTTATTTCAATACATTTTTTTGTCAAAAGCATTTTTAAAGATTTTTCATGCCATGCTATACAGCATAAATAAAAATTTCAGTCATGCTCTAGAAGTTTCAATAATGCTAACTTTGTAAACTTATGAATAGTCTCAGTTGGGTCACCCTTTTTTGTAAAAACACTTCGTTTAATTAGTCAATCACTCTGTAAATAACTATTCATTTGCAACAGTAGGACTAAGAATACCCTTCATTCTGTAATCATTAGAGTAGTCTGATTTCTGTGGATTGTCTCTCTTGGTCTGTAACCACATTCCACCTCTTCTCAACACCCTTTTGCCCACGTGGCAGCCCAACTCTGACCAAATTGGAATCAGTGGAGTCCAACTGTGCCTCCAGGTCAATCACAGCACACACATACTCATGGCCAGCAGGTCCCTCCCTTTTTACGTGGCCAACAGTTTCTATTCCACTCACCTTCTTTCACTAAAGCCATGGCTAGGAACATAATACCTCAGAGGCTCTATTTCCTGTTAAATTCAGCTAGAACTGGGTAATGTATACAAAATTTACTGGATGTGAAGGGCAGGGATTATGCCACACAGGCATTATTTCCCAAAACAGCGGCATTAAAAAAGGCATAAAAGAACTAAATGACACATATACCCATAAACAAGTGGGGATCATACATGTGCATGCTCTACAGCTCTGCAGAAGCAAAGAGAGAATCAAGTGCCCATAGAAATTTCCACTCTCCTTTCAACACGGACAGAGTTTGCTGCCTGAGGTATCTGTGTGCATGGGCATTTGTGCACACGAGCACACAAAATCACTGAGACGTGAAACGGAGCTGGTCTGTTTGTGGCACTGTCCCATATGCGTAAGAATTAGCAAGGACTTCATGAGTGAAGTCTTTCGCTGAACCAAACTATCCTCCACCAGCTCCCTGAACACACACTGATTTCCCACCAGGGAATATGGTCCAGCCACAGGTTACATTACGGAAATGAAATTACAAAAATGCCAAGAAAGCTCAGTCATAACAATTAACAGAGTCCAGGATTCAATCAAGTCAAGTTATGGCATATAAAAGAGGTTTTAAACTGATCGTCTTTAATCAACTCATTTTTATTACTAATGAATTGTCAAGTGCTATCAACAATGTAAGAAAGGACACATAAGAATTAGTAAGCCTACTATAAAATGCAGCAATAGAGCACCTACTGCTTTTACAGAGACTGGAAATGATTACAAAATTGTTAAATGCTCTTAGCTAAAAAAAAAAAAGCACAAATCCATGGTTTCTTCAAAGAAAGAGTTTGTGGAGAGGGAATAAGGGATGGCACTTGCATACACAGGCATGGATAGGCCAAAATTAACTTACAAGTCAGAATCTATCAGAGGATTTCTGTTCTCCACAGATCCCAAACTCAGGACTGCTGAAGGATATTCAATATAGTATTATGGAAAGACTCTTGTATAGCCCCAAAGACATCTGGAAATGAAAATCCAGGCAGAAAGTTTTTGGGATCTATTCTTCTGCCTCTGGCTTAGTGGTGTCTGCAACCCTGAGCAGGCTTGCCAGTACTGCTGTACCAGCCAACAAACAGAAGTGATATGGGCATGACACTAATTTGATCGTGGAAAAACTATAAAGATATTTACAAGAAGAAAAGTTTGAAAACAACTCTAATATGTGCATTGGACTGTAAGGAGTGTAAGTACAACTCTGTAGCTTAAAAAAATATGTATGAATATAACAGAAGGTCTTACACAGGCATGCTAATGAGAGATAGCATAACTAAAAAGGAACTGCTTTAAGTAACATGGCCAATACTGCACGAGGGTGGGGAATGGAGATAAGAACATCTGTAAGAAGTCACTACCACAGTCAAGGCATAAACATATTCTGAAAGGCAAGGGTTGCAGAGAAATACAGAAGAGCCAGCAAGAGCCTCAGCTGGGCAACACTGGACCAGGCGAGATAACTCGAGGCACGTCTTGTGTGCGTTTTGAGTTTGTAAGCCTCATAAGACATTCAGCCAGAGACATTATCAGCCAAGTGCCAGATTTCTGGAGGAGTTCTGATCCTCTCAACTTGGGATTCCTTCCAATTGGCAGATTAGCAGTGTTAAGCAGACACTGCTTGTCGCTGCCTATCTGAACTCCACAACCGTAACCTCGCTGTTGCTACCTTTATTTTTTTAATAAAGGACAAATTTATTGGGAATCAAAGTGCCACTGAAGCACAGCTGCCAGTCAAAAATATTCAGCATCTCAGCTAGCTATAAATAACTTTTCATGTGGGAAGAACATGGCCTCACTAGCATAAGAATAATGTGAAGGTTCTCACGACCTTGTTTAACATTTCCCTTTCGCTTATCATTCCCATTCAGTGCTTCGTGTCGACAAAGTTAGCAGGGGATACTTGCCAGTAAAGCTCAGGGAGCACTGAAGATGGAGGCATTGGAGACTGCATTTCCTCTGGAGGTAAAAATCTTCTCACAGTTATCCTGTATAGCAAGCAAGGAGAGGAACAAATTCCTTTTGGGAGCCTCCCTCCAATGCCATCAAACACACCTTCTGCATTATTCCTGAAAAGGGGGTCACAGTATGCCAAGATCCTTTCTTAAACTGTATTTTCTGCAGTGGAGATGGAATGGAGCAACAGGTGCTTCTGCAGCCCCTGTTCCAGGGCAGAGATGGATTTAATTTATGCTGCTCCCAAGGACATGGAAGTACATTCGTGTCTTACATCAACTTTTTAAAGCTTACTACAGTGCCCTCATTCAGCTACATATCCAAATTACTCTGATCACATCTTCTCACAGCTCACAAATTATGGCACCTTCTCTTTATTGGAAAATACATAATTTTTGTATTAAAGAACCGAGTCCCTCAAAAAACCCCTCAAACTTCTCTAGTGGCTCTGCTTCTACAGAGACTAATTGTATTGTGTTCACAAAAAATCTAAAAGCATTTAGCAAATACCATCTCATTTATCACTACCTCCCTCTTATTTATCAACACTGGGAAAGTACCTATTCTACAAGCAGCATGAAAACAAAACTGTTCCACTGCATCTCCTGAGCCACCACTACCATGGATGGGATGAACCATCTCAAAGAGGTGCTGTGGCAAAAGACAATGGCTGTTTTCGCAGGGGCTGTTTAGGATGCTGCAGAATCATACGTTTTGTAGCACAAAATCACAGTTTTAATGCATTCAAATGTAACACAGCATTAGACACCAAATTAGCACTTTTAATTGCAAGTGACTGGGCAGTTTCCAGGCTGCCCTTGCAGGGGAAAGATTACACCAGCTAAAAGATACCAGTGACCTTTAATCAGCATTTCCCTCCTGCCACGTGCTTTTAGTCTAATCATAACAGACAGGACAACTGAGTCCCTATCTTCCCAATCCAAATGTCCTGACAATCCACTAGTAAAACTTAACCAAAATAGACTACACAAAAACAAATCCTCAAACACACCATCACCATCATCATTAAGGAGCCTTCCTGAGTTATTCTGCTGACACTTAAGACTCAACAGCCAAACTTTATGAAAGGGCAGTGTGAGATGAATTCATTTTCATTTAATAGGTACTTGAGCCCTTATCTCCAGAAAATTACCATTAATTCATTGCACTCATTCTGCCAATTATCTGTTGTTTATCATACAGTTTTGAAACCGTAGAGAAGGCAAGTTACTAAATGAGTGTGAATGACCTGAACAGACCTTAACAAACAGGTTTGGGAACATAAAAGCAATCATGCAGCACTAAGCTAAATTTCAGTAACTTGCTATTTTAGTGGTAACCTTGCACTTCAGGGAGGCCCACAGGTCAGATGGGATAGCACTGTAAATTTGTAGTGACTGTCATAGTCCAAAACAGTTTCAAAATGGTCTGAAAAAGGCTACAGAGACTGAGAAGGAGGGTTACATGGTTTACCCGTTGAGAACCATGAAGTCTACATGACATCTCCCTCTTCTCCTGCATCCCTTCACCACATCAGCTGCACCACAGATTAAACTGAATGGAGACATGTCGTGGTGCCACACTGCAAACCAAGTGGAAACTTACTTTTTCCACATTAAATAATTCCTTGGAAGCATTTTGAGAAAAGATTATACTTTCACCAAAGTTCAACTGTGGATTTGTACATTCAACACCTAAAACGGCAAAATCTGTCAGAAGTAATCGCTTTTCATTTGAAGCAGTTCAAGGGGTTTCTTCAGTGAAACAGACTGTGTCATAAATACAATCCACAGACATTCACTCACTGTAAAAGAAGAGGACCTCTTCATTAAAATCTCACGCTCTAAACCACGGTGCCCACGGGTAAGCTTAGGGTCAGGGAACAGGAAATCTCTTGTATTTTCTTCATACGTAGCTAGAATTCTTCCCACTAAAAAGAAAATGTATACTTTAATTGGAAAATAGACAAAGGCAGACAGCACAGACACCGCACACAGAGAGCCACGCTGAAACCAGGATAAATTTTGCTCTTTTCAAATTTTCAGCATGGCTCCAGAAGTCCCATAGCACCAGGAAATAACCTCATCAAGTTAAATCAGCAGCAGCAATGTACAGAATCTACTATGAAACTACATTTTGATGTTTGATTGTAAAAAAAATTAAAGAAGGTTGTGTTGGCTGTTTTATAAGAGATATATGAGAAGTTTTCTCTAGGCAACTCTTCATGAGTTTCTTCTTCTTTTCCTTTCCATGCCATGGAAGAAATCAGTATTTTTTAATGACAACCAATTCCTTATGAAAAACTCTATCATTCCATATCACAGTAGTAGCAAGAAAGTAACAGAAGCAATATCAAAATAACTACCCCAAGATTTTCTCAATATCCTGGTTTACTACTTTAAAAAAATAAATATATTTTGTTTCAAGGGAAAGCTTTAAATTTATATTATAAAAAAATTTAAGTTGTGCTATTGTAGCCATCTTGTCAGCTTATGCTGAAGGGTATCACACCTATCTCTGACCCCTGAAGATAAATAAGATCTTTTACCCTCCCACAAAAACAATAATCCCCATTCAGTACATTTCTTCAAGTAAACAATCTGGTGAGTCACCTGAGAGAAGCAATTGTTTCCTTGAAAGTACTAAGAACAAGTGACAGAGAGTGCTTTTAATACCCCAGTTTCCAAATGAGTCCTCTTTAAAACTTGACTTTATTTCCAATAAAATGCAGATTTACATTATTCATGGGAACACTTGAATTTCATTAAAATAGATTTTTATAATCACACAAACCAATAACAGAAGTATGACAAATCGCTATTTATTATCTTCAGATATCCCAAGAGACCTGTAATACTTATAGTGAGGATAAGAGTTTTCCCAATGGTCACCATTAAAATGGAAGGAAAAAAAGTGTCATTCTGAGAACAAGATTATGCACTCTGAAATTTCACAGAAAGCCTCTTTGCAAGTGAATTGTGATGTAGTTAATAAGTATGCACTGGATGATTTCAGTTTATTTTCCGTTTTTAAAATATTATCACTTTCCTAAGTCTGACTATGGTACATTTCAATATTCAGTTATCATTCTCTTTCAAGAATGAGATCCTCTTGATCTATTAACATTTTATATTCAGAGGACTACTTGTTGAAGAGCTTTCTATGTTGTTTGTGTGTTGGAAAAAGTGATTGTGCTGCAATGGGCAATGTCCTTGTGGAAATTCACCTATTAAACTGCATAATTTATGAAGAGACTGATACAATACCTGGAGGAACGAGCTGTATTAGTTCAAGTACTGCTGTGTCAACTAAAAGGGAAAAAAGTTTTTTCATGAGTTGAAAAAAACCAATCCAAACTTTAAAGGAAAAGTAATTCTCATAGTCAAAGCCCAAAAAACCCATATCCTTGGTTTAATCTTCACAGGACTGTATATACTGCTATACTATTTCCACCACACCAACAATAAGAGAAAATTAAAAGCAGCTTGGATAAATATCACAGATGAACACAATGGCATTAGCAGCACACAAATGACAACTCTAATCGGACTTAGAACTTGGTAAGTTCTATCTGCTGCCAAGTTTGTCGTCTTTTAAAGATTATGCAAGTTTTGCCCACTTTTCAGATAACTCCCACTATAAAGGTGCATGTTCCTGGAGTTTGAGTTCAGGGTCAGTGTTTTCTCACTACAATTCATTATACTCCACATGTGGTAAGACATAATTTTCTGATGAATGAATAATGGAATGAATAATGAAATGAATAATTTTTCAAAAATTGGATGTTTATGCTTATATAATTTGAAAATTAAACAAATAAGTAACTATAAAAAGGAACTCATTACTTATCTGAATAACCAGCTGGATTTCCAATCAATTACGACTTTTTACCTTTCTCCTCTTTTAAAGCATGTAACATACAATTCTAGAGGCATTTTGTTAGATAACAAAAGTGCTTACCCACTAGCTATTCAGAGAACAGGTTCCTGATAAAAAAACTACCACATACTTTAAACCTCCAAAAAGGCTTTAGAGCCCACATATGCATGACATTAATGGATACAACACAAGATACATAAAAAGCAGAACCTACATTCCAATAACTTCACAAGGTCTCCAGGATCAACTGTATTAGCAAATTCCTGAAAAAGAAATTAATAAATAATAAAAATGGCAGAGTCAAAATATTTAGATGGACCACTGGGGAAAGAGAAGATAAAAAAACCCCAAAATCAATACTCTTCCTTGCCAAGATGGTTCTCAAGAGTCCTATCCCTCCTGGAAAAAGAAAGGATACTGCAATTATCATTTGAAACATGATCAAATTCATTGAAAGCCAGCAATTGTTGTTATATGCTTTCTAGCCATTAGGAGTTACGTCTCCATATTTAAATTATGAGGTATTGTGAAGAGTTAAAGCTGTAGTGGTAAGTACTGTCTAAGCAAATTTCAAGAGAAAAAGATAAATTGCTGAAAGTACTACAATTCTGATGGATGAATAATATATTCTTTAATTTATTGGTAATGCTTTAAGCTTAATTTTGATGGAAGTGACTATTCATGTACAGACTCCTGTTCAGGTTTTTTTTTTTTTTAATCTGAATCCCATGTGAATAGATGGCAAGGAATAGGGGAGGATGTTGCAGTGGATATTCACCAGGTAATAGATTTCCCCCTAATTCTGCATAGAAGTCTCAGCACAGCAGTGTAAATCACACTGCTATTCAAGGTACTAAACATTAAAACCCACAAAGTACTGGTGCTCCACAAGGATCTAGACCTAATCAATAGCTATTTGTAAGGAGAAAGGTACTATTCTCAGCTTTCTTGTTCACCTTCTTTTGTAAGGAGATGGTGTCTTGGAGGTCCCCTAAATTACACTGAAAACAGTATTCAGTACATTTCCCGGAAGTAGTCTGTGGTCTGTCTGCCTTTAAAGAATGATGGTCTTTCTTACTCTTCAGTAGCCAGTGAAATTATCACTGTTTGTTTCTTACCCCCTTCACCACTGATGTTTACTCAGCCTGATTTTCAAAGTGCTGGGGGATGCTTAAAGGAAAAGAACTAGAAAGGGCAAAGTATTATTATTCATAGGCAGTCAAGAAGCCACATCATATCTGCGAGATACTGTGTTTCATTACCCCTGTGGTACTAATAATGAAGCTAGTAGGGACTCAAATATGTGATAAACAACTATAAATTATAGGGCCAGAGTACCAGTCTGGGAATTCTGGTGACAAACCATGAAAAAAGTATCTCAAAGGGAGTAAGATGTCACCAAAAAGGCTTGAGCTGCTATTCTATCCTTCTACTAAATTGACTCTCCTGTATTATATGGTCTTTGTTCTTCACCTTGCCATAATTTTTAGAACAGCTACATGCAGTTCCTTCCAAACTAGCAAAATAGACACTGAGAAAGGACAGTTCACAAAAGGAACAAACACCTAAAAAGTCTCATCATACATTATGATCTTTAGTATGCATGTGGATAACACAGGCACACACCTCCTTTGTGCTGAGGGGAAGCAGGAGTTAAAATACTGTGCCTTCCTCAGTGTGATTACTTGTGCTCATGGGTTTTGCAGATGGTTTTTGTGGAATTTGGGATGGGGTTTATTTGGGTTGTATTAGCTCTTGACACGTCTTACCTTTTCAAATACTAGTTTTTCTTGAAAGAAGAGTGGAAACACTGCAGGGACACATTGAGTTTTTTTAAACTGCCCAAGTACAAAAACACTGAGATAAAGCTCCTCTTTGTCTTTCAGCAGCACTCCAGGACAAGTTATCTGTAAGAGTAACACACTCATTAAACAAACTGAACTTTAGATAAAGAAGTAATGGCTGTTCTCAAGATAAAAATGAAACAGTCAGGACTGAAATGGTTGATTTCTGAGAGTCAGATTATAACAGACTAGAATGAAAAAATGTCTTCTCCGAAGCAATTCTATTTGTACAGAATGATCAGGAAAAATAGCCACCATTTTAAAATAACCAGGACCAAATTCATCTTGCTTAAGTAAACACTCTCCACTGTCTTCAGCCAAAACTGAAACCCAATGCCAGGTTAATACAGTTAAAGGCATGCACTGACTATGGAAGGGAAAATCATCTTCTATATGAAGTCAAGTAGAATGAAGTCTATGTGATGCCAACGCAAAAAAAACCATCCAACCTTTAGCCTAACTACAGAATGAAGCTGGTAAATGTACAGGCTTAGATATCCATACTCTGTCCAGCCACCAGAAAGGGTGAGTTTATGTGCAAATGTTATATTAACGTTTGTTCTAGTATGTAAATGAGAAAAAGCAATTGTTCCATTACTAGCAGACACAGGATTTCTCTGGGAAGTTTGGCCATCTTGGAGGGTACTCAAGGCAGGAAGTCTTCTTTTTAGCTTCCAGATATTGCCACTAATCTCTCAACTTTCTCTGTACAATTCTTATTCTTTAAGGAAGAAGCTGGTATGCTTCTAAAGCTCTGATGCACATCAGACATTCTTTCTTATGTTCTAATTGCGAGGATGTACACAACTCATTGCAAAACTGTTTGCTATTTTCTCCAAGCAGCGTGGTTTTATTCCATTACCCAGCCCAGAGAATTGAAACCTTTCACTTCAGGTCTCTGGCTCACTTTTTATCTCAGTACTATAAATATGAGGTTGCCTCTTCCAGCATAAGGTTGCTGGAGAAAGTGTTCAGACTTTCAATTGTCAGATAGGAAGACAAAGGAGGAGAGTGACAGGAATTAAAATAAGTGGTTTGGTTACAGTCTCCTACTCCCAAGTGAATGTTTTACTTGGGAAATTTTAACTGGATTTAAAAGAAAACTATATGAACAGCAGAAAAACAGCCTCAGGTGAAAGAAATAATAGAAAACTATGTGTGATAAATTACTATAGATACAGTAGAAGCTAAAAAAGTTAGGTTTCTACTCATAAATATCCAAGGAGGAAAAAAGAGGGTTTCCTCTCCGTGCACATGAAGGCTTCAAATCTGCAAGAAAAGTGCCAGAATAATAGATAACCCAATTGAAACAGCCTGTCAAGCATTAAACAGCTTGTATGACGCTCATGCAGTTGCAAGTGTGAATAGGAGTGAGAGAGACAGATTTCATTCATACAAGGCAAGATGCCCCCAAACTACATACTACAAGCCATATTAGCTTCAGTTCTCACTTTTCTCCTCCACATTTTTGTAGAATTTACAATAATTTTTAGTGGAGTTTTGTGCCTTTCACCTCAGAGAAGGCGACCAATATTTGCCAATCTGTTGAGTTGAAAAGTGAGAGATTTGAACATCAGGTGCCATTTTCTCCTTGCTACCCTGTAAAAGAAAACAAATTCTTATAAATGAGCATGTAGGCCCAGACAGCACATGTGGAAACCTGGAGATAAACTGCACAGTTCATTGCCTGGGCTGGAACACCACCAAATCTGCAAGTCCATGTAACTTTAAGCCAGCTCCAAAAATGAGTGACACACGTGTATCTGTGGTTTGTGACACCTATCCTATCATATGCAATGCACGGAGCAGCATAACTCCTGGGAGACAAACTGAAGCTCTTATCTGACTGCAAACTGTTCAGGCAGGATGAGGGACTATTTTAAAGACTGTAATAGTATTATCTGTGGATCAGCTAAGGAAAAGGGATATCAGTGCTGCAATTAACCGACCTTACAAGCAACCCGGAGGACTATGAGAACTGTCTAGGACAGCATTACCCTGGACTTCTCTGCTGAAAGTTCCCAGGATGATGGAAAATGTGTACCAGCCCTATTGCTGGGACATCACAAACAGCCATAAAGAACTCAATGAATTAATCTCATGGAAAGGAACAGAATTTTATTGATCCATAACCCTCTATGTCATTTATTACACGCGGGCCTAAAACTGTAGCTGTAGATGTGACCAATGAATAAGGCAAGCCTGGAAAAATCCCTTTAATTTGCCCATTACCATCAAAAAAAAGAAGAGTTCTCTTTGAAGGGCAATGGACAGTATTGGCTTCTGCTGAGTGCAAGTTTCCAGACACAACAGCATTTTGGACTCAAGAACTGCAAAAATAATCTTGTCAGTTTGAAGAGATCCCATTTTAGTCTCTTTATCTGGCAGTAATTCACAATTCTATTAATTTATCTTTGTGCTTAAAGATTTACCTACCTTCACTGCCACATTTGTGAATTCTCCATGTAGCCATGACACAAAGAATAATGTGAATTTCTTTCTGTTGCTACATGAACAATCTGAATGCCAGCAGCAGAGGTAGACACTGAAGTTAGTCTCAAAGCCACAAATAACAATGAAATCTCATTCTGAGCAGTGATGAATTATTCAATTTCAATTAATGTCAGGATAAATTAAAAAAAAAAAAAAGAAACCCTTAGTCTTTAAGTAAGGTTTTCCATTTTAGAAGAGCAGCCTCTCAGAAAAGAAGAAAACTACCAGTGAGATAAACCAAATTTGGTGGAATCAGATCAGAGGTGGTCTTGGAATTTCATTAAGTCAAAAGGAGCGCAACCCATCTGTATCCTAAAGCATGGGAAAAACAAAGGACAGAACTTCTGACACAAGTGGATAGGTTTTAAAGAACACTGAGGAATATGCAGGGCACTGTAAAAGAACAGGACAATGAATGAGAAATTTGGACAAAACTTAGGCCGCAAACAAAGGGAAAATGGAGGAAATGAGTGGATGTAGTATATACTGACCAAGATGTGAAAACAAACAAATCTATGTCCCAAATACAGTGGAATATTTTGCCTTGGTTTTAATGATACTTAACATAGAGGCAAAAAGACAAAGAATTAAATGATGAAAACAGAAGTCACCCAGTATGTACTAGGCCTGGCCCAGAAGCCACAGTGACACTGAATCATATTCAGCCCAGGTTGTGAAAGAACGTTATTTTATTTCCTGGATCTATACGTAACTGAAACCTATGTAATACAAACAGGTGTGGTACCATCTGCTGAAAAATAATAAACTCAAGACCCATATGAGGCAGAAAGAGAAATCTGAAAGATTATAACCCCCATCAACCAGAATATTTAAATCTGCAAAAGTAAAAACTATAGAGGAAAACATAACTAGAAAAAAGCACAGCAGCACACATTCCCTAAAAATAGATTAATGAAGCAAACCCCCACATCTTCTTGAAGGTGTATTTTCTGGATAAAGGATATCATCTAGTGTCACATGAGAAATTGTTACTTATGATGCAAAAGATAGGAATTAGTATCAAAGGGGGTACAGAATTGGCCAAAGGACAGCATCAATAATGTGCAAAAAACTGGGAGGCATCAAGTGGAGGTTACTATTAAAAATGTTCCTCTCTGTGTACTGGGATTCATGTCTTTCAACATTTTTAATGACCCTGACTAATATTAAGGCATACACAATGAATCCTGAACTTTTTTTCCCTACTGCACCTAAGGCAACAGCAAGACCCCATCTGGAATGCAGAGTTCAATTCTGATCCTGATCAATGCAAATTCAAAGTGGAAGAGTAGTTCCCATCCCTAAGATGGTCACAAGACTGGTGAGTCCATCCCACAAAATACTACCAAAAGAACCAGGTCTATTTAGCTATTGGGAAATTAAAGAATTGCTGCCCAAAGAGCAACCATGGAAGACTACAAATTATTTAAGTGAAAGGCCAGTGTTGACATTTATGTAAGAGTAGTCACTTTCCACCCTTATTTGTAGCCTTGAGAGCAGAATGAGTAACAAACACCCCACAACTGGAGAAGCCTAATCATGGGGAAATGTCTCCCCTGCACTCTCTTCTGGCATACAAATGGTTCGCAGCAGTAGGAACAGAAAAGGAAAGCACATCTGGTCCTTTCCAGGAGCCAAGTAGACCTTGGCATTATGGAGACAAACACCAGCTGCTGAGACAGAAGAGCAACACCCCGAAAATGACACCCTCACTATCCATGAGTGGAAACCACAACTTAGCGTCAGAGCAGCCATTCAAGTTTGGGAGCAAAAGGCAGCTAAGCAACCAGGAACCCCTGGTCAAGTTCCCAGTTTACACTTCCTGGGTCTGCACTTGAACTTTGTGGATTGCACCTCGGGTTTTCCTCTCCCAGCAGCAATTATTCTGCCAGCACTTGTCCCACGAGGAAGCCAAACCTCTGGATTAGTGACCAGGGTGCACAAAACCCAGGGTAACCGCGTTACCACAACTTCTTAAAAGTTATCAGACTGAGAGCTTACTTTTTACTCCCAACCTGGATATAAGCAGGAAACTTTGCAAAAAGCGCAGAAGGCCCAGTCTTAACATGATTAATGTAAAGACCTTCCACTTTCACACCTACCGACCTCACCCCCTCCGTTTAACACCCAGAGCTACCCCGTGCCACACCCTGCCCCTCGCAGGGGTGCATTTCAAAGCACAACCGCTCCTTCCCGGGATTTCTTTTGCTGTT